TTTTTTCCCTTACAAATCAATCCAAAAATTCGCAACCTCATCAATCATATTTATCCATCATGCCATTAAGTTCCTTAGAAAAATAAAGCACGTTATTTTCCAACTAATCTTACCGGCCGGCTTCAAACATATGTGGAAAATGACTAGATAGATTAGTCATTAGTGGGTATTAGGTAAGGTAGGGGACCTTTGAATATCCTGCCATTCACCAGATGCATCAATTAATTCGTACCCAATAGTGGGGTCTAACTCACCATCTCATGGTTTAGCATTTCTTTCGATTGATTTGGTCAAGGGATGAGAGGAAGTGAAGTTGATTAAGGTAGCCTAAGAAGACACATGCCCATGTTGAGATTGTTTTCTTTTCTCCACTTGAAATAGTTGTGCAGGTATTTGATGTTGATGCTGTGAGGTTGTAATTTTATGGCTAAAAAACCATTTCCTGTTTGACAAAGGAAGCAACGGTTTGCAGTCGTGGATCCCTAATGGGTCCAGGGGCAAACTCAACTAAGGTGTTTGTAGTCCAAGTAGATTATACCATAAAATATTAACAGCTTTTGCTAAGCCTTTATTTTGGATTGCCATTGACTCAATATTAACTTCTTCTTTTTTTCTTTTTAATAAAGAATGTCATTGGACCGTTATGAAAAATGATGTATGCACAATTTTACTTATAATGAAGTCACTACTCAATTTAGTTATATTAATATCACATTGTTTTTATAATTAGGTGTCTCTAATTAATCGATTTTTTGTGCACTTTAATATTAATATTTTTTTGAATAATTTTAAAAACATAATTTCACATTAATTTGATATATTAAAAAATTATTTAATTTTCTTAAATAACCCACTTAAACCCTAAACCTAACATACAAGATATTAGCATCAGATGGTTATTGTGAGAATATGCCTATACAAGATAATATTATGATAATCTACCTACTTACGTAACGTATCTAACATGATATCACAATTATGTGAAAAGACCAAGCATGAAATGCAGTTTTGGAGTTAATACATATGATTTTACCCCACAATAGTCTTACAATAGTCACTTAATATCAACAAATAGTCAAATAGATACATACTCAAATATGGGACTGGTCCATAATTCCTGTTATATAAGCTTGCAAGCCGTATTACACATTATAAGATAAAAATTGTGCATTAACGAATTTTTGTTGCAAGTTGTAACTAAATAAAATTTTCATTCAAAAAATAAACATCTAATGTTGTGAATACTAATATTTATTTATTATTTTTATTTTGGTTACGTAATAACAAACAATTATTTTTTATTTTATATTTTATTTTATTATATATTATACAATTTAAATTTAAAATTTTTTATTTTTAATGAAAAAAATTATCATTAAATTATTTATATTATTAACAACACTAATATTTACTTAGTTCAAAAAATAAATTGTTAGAGCTGGCAAAAATAAAAAATATTGTTATGAGTTTTTACGAGCCCATGTCACTGGGCGACAACGACACAGCCCTCACCTTGCCATCACTGGGATAGCCTCGATTACCTCAAAAACAACTCTTGACTTTATCTCCAGTTAATTGTCGGAAATGATTCTTTCCGTTTATCTTTTATTTAAAAGAATTTACCATTACGAGGAAAGCTGTAAAGAAATTAATTAAATGATTAATTTAAATATATATATTTTTTATCTATATAGTTATGGGTTAGATCCTCATTTTTTCTCCTTATCTAATTCTTTCATTAAAAATTTTAATTAGTTAATATATCTTATTAGTTAAATAGGGTTATGGTTATAATGTTGAGACATTAAAAATTATAAAATATTATTTTAAAAAATATTAATTTTGTTAAATTTAATTAATAAAAATAATTAATAATTAACTAATTTTTAATAAAATAATTAATATTTATTAATTAATATATTAAAATTAATTTATAAATTAATATTTTTAAAAACTATTTTAAAAAATAAAAAATTATTAATATTAATATTTTTGTGGTGACAAACTGACAATAACAAAAATAATGGTGGTAATACCTTTAATAAATGATGTTCTTGTTTTCTTATCATCCAAACAGGTAATTTTAAATGCAGTTTGCTGTTAAAAAAAAAAAAAAAACCCCTCTTTAGTCAATTATTTTTCCATCCTTTTTTTCTAATGGTTAACAGTTCTATAGTTTCATCATTTATAAATTTCACATTTTATAACTATTATTTAAAAAAAAAAAGAGAAAAAAATAGTGGGAGAACTTGATGCCACATGTTTCGTGATGTCTTTTTCCTTTTTCTTTTTTTTTTTGAACATGGTCTTTTTCCTTTTTCTTGATCTTCATTCTTTCTGAAACCGCATGAGACACGCTGGTGCGTCGGAATTTACGAACAAAATCTTTGTTTAATTCACTTCAACCAATTTTGCTCTGTCTCTCTCACCGAAACTCTGAAACCAAACCCACTGTAATGGAGAAACAGAGAAGTTTCTCCTTGAAATCCACTGGATTCTTGGTCTTCTCTTTAACAATCTTTTCTTCTCTCATCTTCTTCATTTTCTTTTCTATCTGGCTTATCAACTCCCACCCTTCAATTCACCAACAAACCCATCTTCACTTCAACCGTTCATCTCTCAATCTAACTCACTTCGATTTCACTACAAATTTCTCCTCAAGAAGTGATGCAGATTCGTTTCTGAAGGATACCCACGTGGGTAATGCATCTAGTTTCCACGAGTTTTCGATTTTAGAGGAGATCGAGGAACAAGATGATGAGATTGAAACTACAGAGCCAGAAGATAGTGATGATGTTGTAATCAGTAATTCTACAGAAGTGCGAGAGAGTGCACCTGGGCTGTCTTCTGAGGAAATCGAAGTTGTTCAGAGCAGAGAGGAGGAGAACAGGGCAAATTTATCTGAGAAAATTGAGCTTGTAAGTAGTGGGGGAAATGAAGAGAAGAAGATTAAAACTGCTTCGCTTCATGGTAATGATGGCAGGATTGAAGAGAAGAAGATGAGACAATGTGACATTACAAAAGGGAGTTGGGTTTATGATGCTAGCTATCCCCTGTACAACTCCTGTTCCTTCATAGATGAAGGTTTCAACTGTGCTGGTAATGGAAGACTGGATGGAGACTACATGAAGTGGAGATGGCAGCCTCAAGATTGTGAGATTCCGAGGTAATTTGATTTCCTACTTTTTACATCTTCTTGGATGTTTAAGTTCGTGCCGCAGTGCGTGAATTGCGATAACTTTGTGAGATTTTATGGTTTTGTTCAGATTCAGTTACTTAAAAATAGAAATAAGGAATGATGGTAGAGATATGTGTTTTAGGTTCAATGCCACAAGAATGCTGGAGTTGATCAGAGGAAAGAGACTGGTTTTTGTGGGGGATTCAATCAATAGAAACCAATGGGAATCTATGTTGTGTATGTTAATGGGAGCTATAAGAGATCCGAAGAGGGTTTATGAGACTCATGGCCGAAGAATCACCAAGGAAAAGGGGAATTATTGCTTCAAATTTGTGGTAATTAACCAAGTGGGCATGAGTTTTTCTTCACTATTCTACTGATGATACTGGAATTTTGACTCTTTGGGTGATTTGATTTTGAGGGCTTTTTTCCTTTTTCCTTTTGTTCTTGCAGGATTACAAGTGTACAGTTGAATATTATGTGTCTCATTTCTTAGTTCACGAGAGCAAGGCTAGAATAGGGCATAAGCGGAAGCAAACTTTGCGAATTGATGCAATTGATCGTGGTTCATCAAGGTGGAGAGGAGCTGATATCTTGATCTTCAACACTGCCCATTGGTGGTCACATTCCAAAACAAAAGCCGGGTTAGTCCCATTGTCAAGCTGTGAAGATACAACCTTTAATAAGTCCCTGACTAAAGACTCTTTAATGTTGTTAGTCTGCCTTCATTTAAGTTTCCTAAACTATTCTGCATTTGCTAGAGGCTACGAAGTTCAACCTAGTTCTTCATTTAATAAAAGAGGTCTGCCAATGAAGTTTGAGGGAGTTTGAAACATAGCATGACTGGAATTACTGGACTTCTATTATCTCCAGCTGCATTGATGAGAGGCATCATGAAAAAGTCAAGGAATTGAAATAGCTAAGAGGAGATAATTTAAGACTATTTTTACGATCATTTCTAAGTGATGCCATCTAACTGTTGTATGCTAATCCTAGATATGGTAAGTAATGTCTTGGTCTTTTCATAACAGGATCAACTATTATCAGGAAGGGAACCAAGTGCATCCCCAGCTTGACGTTTACACAGCCTTTAGAAGAGCTTTGCTAACCTGGGCATCTTGGGTTGATAAACTTATTAATCCACGCAAAACACATGTTTTCTTCCGAAATTCAGCTCCTTCTCATTTCAGGTTTGCCCTTGTTGACATTGCTATATGCTTCAACCCTTTCTGACTTCAGCATACTGATATCTTGGTGTCTGATGTGTTATACAGTGGAGGACAGTGGAATTCAGGTGGCCACTGTGGGGAAGCTACTTGGCCGCTTAATGACACTTCAAGCATGAGCTACCCTGAGAAGAATAAAATCGTGGAAGACATCATAGCTCAGATGAAAACTCCAGTAACTTTGCTGAATGTAACTCGTTTATCTGCATACAGGATAGATGGTCATCCATCAATATACCGGAAAAAACCAGTGGATCTCCGTTCTTCAAGCATTCAAGACTGCAGCCATTGGTGTCTTCCCGGGGTTCCAGATACGTGGAATGAATTGTTGTATTTTCATTTGCAATCAAAGCAAGGGAATAGATTTCACATTAGGTAGTTCCTTTCCTCACCTTGTATATTCATCCAATTCTTTTAGTTTGTTAGTTTGTCAACCGGCCCAAAAATGTAAGGAAAAAAAAAAGTTTTGTCCAAATTTGATTGAACTTCATGGTTCATTTCAATCTTTGGTACATGTATTCAGGGGAAAAAATAAAGAAAAAAAGAGAACTTGTATTTTATTATCAAGTCAAGACTCAAGAATATACATCCCACACTCACAGCACTGGCAAATTCCCACACCAATTGCCTACTAGATGTAGCTGCTAATTATTTAGCCTATTACCAGTACAAAATTTGGACTTTCTTCTACCTTGTTTCCAGAGCATCAGAACATATAGGGACGTATTTATGCAACTATACACCATGAATGATGTAATTCATGAATATTACACACTGTGCATGCGTAAAGGACATACTGCAATGAACAAGGTAGCAGCATTTCTAAGTTCTAGTAATATACCAGTTTAAACAATGAAGATGGAGCCAGTATGGATATTTCTGAACTTGAAACCAAGGCAATGAAATAAATGTACACAATCTTTTCCTAATGGCTTTGAATGTAAGAGAATGGCTGAAGTACTGGGTATAAAGAGAGCACAAAATTATAACACCTGACTTTTTCAATTAATTAAAGTCTAATTCACAGAGTATTTTTTAAGAAGTAAGCAAGGCAAGTGAAGGGACTTTAAACTTGACAAGTTCATCAACACTGCTTAATGAACTTTAGGCACACAAGTTATTACCTTGGCCAAGTCATACCGCCTCAGTGATCAAAAGAATGCACAATAATGCTGTGGTTTTTGTTGAAATTGAAATCTAACATCAGTTAAACCTGTGAATCAATGACTTGCTGAAACTCAGCTGCTCCTGGCCTTGGATTCCTTGGTTGTCACCCACCCAGCTTCTTTATCAATTCTCTCCCGAAGAGCTTCCGCAAAGTAGTAAACAATTCTCTGCACCGGATTAGCTCTCTCCCATGCGATCCATTCACACCGAGGAAGCAATCTGCTGGCACGTTCGAATTGCTGGTATCCGATTTTCTCAGCTGCAGCCAGGAGCAGATGCAGCAGTTCCACATCCTTGGTCTCCTAATCGGACAATCCACTGAGGGCATGTCCAAAAGGGTGCATCAACATCGTACCTCAGTCCGAGGACTGAACGTACCTTGCTCCGGTTACCCTCATGATTTCCTCCGTTGCGAGTTTCTCACCGCCACTATTGATCTTTCCACCAGGACCATCACCAAATTCATCCACTATTCCACTTTCACTTTCTTCAATCCCACTCCGTAGTTCCTAAGAATCTCCGAAGATGACAGCTCCGATAACATGTCCTTGGGATTTCGCACTTCTCGCTTCGAAATTTCTTCAAGCAGCTGGTGATCGTTAGTAAAACCATAACCGAAACTCAATTCTTCCGATATTAAATCCTCCGACTTGATTTCTTGTTCTTTCCGAAGTGAATTATGATCCTGCTCTTCAACCAAATTCAGGCCACCACACTCAAAACAAAGAGAATTAAACTCCCCCACAATTTCTCGACCTCCAAACACCCCCTGATGCTTCCCATTTATCACCATATCCTCCTGAAGGCTAAAACAACCCTGGATTCCACTGAAATCAAACAAAGAGAAAGAGAACAAGCCATCCGCCATCTTAAATTGGAAAAGTTCCCTCAAATCTTATTCCAATATAACATCTAGTAATCAGGTTACATGAAAAAATACGGATTCAAAGAAGAAAATTTGGATTTTATTTAATAAAATAAAATTCCGGGAATATTACGAGATGATTGTATCATTGTATTAAGTTGTGGATTAGTGACGTATCTAAGAAAATAGAAAACCGGCGCTGATAGCGATCCTGAGAGGGATCGTTCGACGAGAGCAACATGTCCGGCCGCCAGAAACTCCCAAAAAGAAGAATGTAATTACAATAATTTTCTCCTCATAAATATTTGCCACGGGCAAGAAGATAAAAGATCTTGGAGATGTTTCCATTGCAAGAACATGCAATGTGTTATTGTTTTAAGGTCATTAAGAGTTCAGCTTAGGAAAAGAGGAATTTTGCCTTAAATAAAGGATTTGCTTTTTATCTTAAAAAGATAGATTTTTATAAATTTTTTTATTTAAATAAATAAAAGATAAATAATAATAAATAAAATGAAAATTTGATATTAGAATTTAGATTAATGATGTGACGTAAGTCACTTTATTTTGGATATTAAAAATTAAATTTTATATTATTTAATAATTAATTTTTTT